TATGTTATAGGGAGGCGCATGCTGGGGGAAGGCACATGCTGCAGGGAGGTGTGTGCAGAGGGGAGGTGAGCTGTGGGGAGACATGTTTCCGAGATGAGGAAGTGTGTGCTAGGGAAAGGTGCAGGGAGGCATGGGCTGGGGGAGGCGAGGGAGGCTGCAGCAGGCAGCTTTCCTGAGCCTTCACAAGGCACCTGACCACAGGACCGCTTCTCTGCTCTTGGAAAGGCCATGCACTCCTGTGCAGGCCGCTCCCTGCCATGCTGCCAAACCGAGCCCTTCAGTCCCTGCCCCATATCCTCTCCTGTGGTCCCACCCCACCACTACAGTTGCCCTGCCCAGCTTGGCAGCAGCCCTCAAGCTCACTTTCATTATACTGATGCCCTCTATCTCTTCCCCTGCTGCAGCAGCGTCAGGGAGGTTGGTGCTTTCCTTTGGGCCGAACCCAAGCACTGCCAGTGGCCCCTACACAAGACAGGTAGACAGAGTGAGGTGATAGGCAGTGGCCCAGGCTGCAGGTGTGCAAGGTTGGGGCTTCAGCAGAACTGGACCCCAGAGCGGGAAGGATGGGAAAGGCAGTTCCAGGATCAGCTTGGCCCCATCTCCGACAGGCCCTCAGCCCTCAGGCCCATTTGGCTGTTCCAGTTGAATAACAATTATGATGATAATGAATAACCTTAATGGTGCCACAGAGCAGAGAGGTGATAACAAATTAGAACTAAAGATGTTTTCCTGCTAAAGAGACACAAAACCAAAGCAAGAGTGACAAGCGGCTGAGACCGGGCTCAGGCAGATGGCTGTGTGTGTCACTGTGGGTCTGCTGGGCACCCACTCTGCAAGTGTGGATGCCGAGGCTGTGGGGCTGAGCCTTCTGCCTGAGGCCCCGACTGTAGGTGGCTGTAGACTTGGGGGGAACAGGGGTGGAGAGCGGTAGCCTGGGTCTTCCTGAGCCCTTGGCCATCCAGCAAGGCTGAAGCCTTTGTGGTTGACCAGTCACCTGAGCCCTGTGTGTCTGCCCTGACTGCTGTGTCCACCAGGCCAGCCTGCCCCACACTTGGCCCCGCCCTGTGATCAGAGCCTTCCAAGAGAGCTGCCACTCAGGAGGTCACTAAGCCCTGCCATGACCTCTGACCTCCTGCTCTTCATTCTTCATTTCCTCTTTCAGGGAAACTCCTGAATGTCCATAACTCTTCCATCATGTGTCTTCATGGTGTCCTCTCAGGCCATGTGGCCAGTCCTGTCTCTGAGGCCCTGGCCAATGCCTGTGCCCCAGGACCCCAGGCCTTCTAGGGGACTCCCTCTTTCCATAGCCCCCATCCCCTTGAATTCAGGATGCCTTTTGCTTTGTGTTGGGTGTCCAGCACTGTGTCTTCCCCACATTAGCCCATATGGGTCCAAGTGCACAACAGTGTGTCACGTAGTCTGGAGAATTCACCTCCATGGGCCAGGGCAGTGATCCCATGCCTCATGAAGAGATGTTGTCTGATTTCCAGAAAGGGAAGTCTGGAGGGACTCTGAGGCCCTGCAGGATTGTTATAAGTAGGGAGCTGCCAAAGCCACTTTCCTGCTCAAGAGTCTTCATGGCTCACACGAAATGAGGTCCAGATGTTCTTGCTAGTGTTCAAGGCTCTTGCTGTGGCTTAGTGCTCCAGCCCCATGTGCAGTTCCATTGTCTACTCCCCCACCCCAGCTAGCATGCTCCATACCTGATCCCCAGGCTGGCTGTGCCTCGGAGCTGCAGTTACACACACCTTTGCAAACACTGCTCTTGGATGCTCCTGCACCTTCTGCCCCTGTCTCTGTTTTAGAGGTTCAGCTTGAGCCCTGTCTTTGAGAGGCTACTTCTTGGGACCACAGCTGTTCATGGGCTCAGGCCCTCCCTTGCAGGGGGCTCCCGCATCTCACCACCCCCAGCTCTGTGTGCTGAGCCTGACCAAGCACACCATGGGGAGCCAAGGGCCAGTGGAGGGATGCAGAAACCCTGGCCCCCTGTGGCTGACTCTGCCGGCCCCATCATAGCTGTGTGTACCAAGGCCTTGCATACAGCAGCTTGCTGTCTCTGTGCAGAGAGCCTCAGGCCAGCTTTGTGCATGAAGGGATGCAGTGAGTTCCTGCTCTACTGGTGAGAGAGCAGGGCAGGGGAGGTGGTTCCTTCAGGGGTTCTGTGGTCAGGGCTGGAGCTGTGCTCCCCACCTGCTGGACAGGCAACATCCCTGCTCACCCTGATGCTGCCCACTCACTGAGACCCTAGCTGGTGCCTGCTGATCCTGGCATGTGGGGCCATCAGTGAGGAGACAAAGTCCTCCTGTACTGGACACCTAAATCTACATGTCTGATCTCTAGAATGACCATGCTACTTGTTGGCCAGATTGGGGCGCTTTGGAGAGTGCAGTGTGCTGTTAATACTTATGAATGCACAGATGCTTGCTGGAGCTGCTGTCTCCTATGCACCCAGCCAAGGGTAAGGTGGCGCCGGTAAGTCCCCTCTCCCAACTCCACAGTCACAGCCTGGCCATCCTCCAGTGTGCATGGCCTGTCTGGGTGTTCTGCTCCACCAGACATGGGTTTGACCCAGGCTGATGCTGCCTTCAAACCTAGTTGCCAGGTTGCTCCATCCAGTTGTCCCAGATGCTGCACAGGGGTTGGGGTGGGGTCACCTCTCCAATGTTGAGTGACTTATGTGATATGTCAACACACTACCTAGGAGAATAGAGAAACACCAGCAACGCCACTTTAATTACTCCTCTCAGATGAAGTAATGATCGTTAATGTGTGCTGGATCTCATTAATTAACTCTCTGACTTTAATTAACTTCTTGCCTATTTCACCTGACATAATATATTATCACAAATGTCAACTTTGCAGAATGTTTCCCTCTTACAGCAAAATAAGATGCATCACATCAATGTTGCGGTTTTGACACTGTGGTGGAAAGAAGTCCTTGGTGGGAAGTGGACAGGCCACCAGTAGTACAGAAAAATATCTGGCTAGACTACAAAGTTTTCTACTCCTACCATGAATTCATAATCGTGATTGAATTTGCTTCTAATCACAGTAGCATGACTCTTTTAGAGTGTTCAAACACACTGCTAATGATAACCATAACAACAGAACACCTGAGAACAGCAACACAATTTTGTTTTTGAGAAGAGAAGACACTTCTTTCCTGCCACGAGCTCCATTAGAGCCAGTCAGGCATGGAGATGGAGGGTGGAAGGTCAGCCCACGGGAGCTTCTTCCATTTCTAGCTGCTTTGGACTGCAAATATCCCACTTGCTGTCCACATCCTGACTGCCAGCACCCTTGGCACACCATGGCAAAGCTGGCCATCACAGTGGTACTTGGGGGCACCTAGGCTGTTCCCTCATCATGGCCCACTGGTCTCCAGGGTCTTACTCACACTGCTCTAGTGAACCCCTCACCCTAGCTTCATTATCACTGCTGAAAGCCCCTTCTTGGGTCTGCTGGTCTCTGCCCACTTGTGGACTCCTCAGCCATCTCTGGGTCCTTGGTGGCTCAGGAGGTGGCTGAGGGTCACCCTCCCTGAGAGTGCGGCCTGGGCTCTCCTCTTCAGTGTCGCTCCAGCCTCCCCAGCCTGAGGTCAGACATGAGTGAAATATAAGATTGTAGGCTGGAGTGTGTCAGCTGTGGTCAGGCTAGTGATGGGCAGGTCCTTGGAATGATTATGGAGCCTCCCCAGCAATGAGTGACACCTTTTGGGGGTGGACACGGTGAAAAGAACAAGTCCCTGTCCCTGTAGCTGGAGCACAGGTAATCAACTCAGCCAAGAAACAGCCTCTGACTTAATTTCATACCTCAGTGGGCATTCTGGAGAGAGCAGCCAGCAGGCTGGGCCTTTGTTCAGTGAAGCCCCAGCGCGTCACCCTCAAATCATCTCTGCAGGGAGTTTCTGATCATTCTCACTCAAATGTGACCAGCCCCCCTTATTCTCCACACTCTGCACGTATGTCACCCAGATACATGTGCACGTACATTTGCACATATACTCACGCATGTACATGTGTGCCCACACACCATGCGCATACATATAGGCACACAGACACACACCCACATATATACATGCATGCCTACACACCACACACAAGCGTGTACATCACAGCCATGTATAGACCTGTCTATCCCATGCACACAGGCACACATGCGCAGACACCCATGCACTGCACACATGCATAAGCATAAACCCACACCCACATTTATACACACACATCCCACACATACCATGCATGCACACATATGCACACATGTACAAGCATACACAGGGGCATATGCTTATGTACACTATACACACCCTGTCACATATATACATGCAAGCACATACCACAAATACATGTACATATGTGTACACACTTCACACACACATAAGCACACACATGCATGTGCACAGTAGTGCCTCTGGGGTCTGGGAAGGTGACCAGGGGAGGCCCTCGTGGGAATCTGGCAGGAGGTCACAGGCACTGGGAACTGGAACCACTGGCCTACCACATGCATGTGGGCAACACTCCATTTGTAGACTCAGTTTCCTTATCTGTCCTGTCTCCATGTTTTAAAAACTGTCCATGAAGTGCCTCTGGGTGCCCCTGTGAGGCCATGGTGAGAGACAGTCCCACCACTCTGTCCCCTGGGGGGCTAGGACAGGTGATGACTGTGAAATGCTCTCAGCCCCGGAATGGAGCTGCAGGGATGAACTGGAGGATGGCATGGGCCAGAGCTCAGGAGATCGGAAGGATGGACTCCACGTTCCATGAAGAGGGTACTGAGAAGCTGGGATCCCACACAGCCCAGCAGCCACTTGGCAGAAGTGGAAGTCTTGGCCTCTGGGAGGCAGAGTGCACATCTCAGCCCTCTTGGTCCCCCTGGACACATTGGTTCGGGGAAAGTGCATTCTCTGAGCTCGAAGCAGGAATCTGGACTCTGTTGGTAGTGTTACCAGAGGTAGGTTCCATCTGGTCCCCGTTTCTCTCTTTCACAGAAGTGCATCAGACTTCTGGTTGTAGAGCTTATTTCTTCGAGTCTCTGGCCCTGAGCTTGGCCTTGCGAACAGCCTGGGCACAGCTGCTAGCAGATAGGATGTGAGGCTGCAATCAGCATGATGTCTGGGCCTGGCTCTGCACTCTGTCATCTGCTGTGAGAAGCACACACCGGAGGAGCCACAGGTGGTAAGACAGTGACACTCAGAGGTGACCAGAGGCACATGAGCCCTGAGTGAGACCCAAACTCCCTACAGCACTTATAAAGTCACGCACTTTGGAGTCGTGCTTGTTACTGAGCACACAGTTGTAGCAGAAATCTGGCACACACCTGGCCTGTTACACCCTGGGAATGTGATCCAGCCCCTGGAGCCCAGATTTCTCCTTCATGAAGGGGAGACAGTAAACAGGCCTCATGGCATTGTGGGTACAGTGCTGTGTGGGTCTCTGGTACAGTGCTCCTAGGTGAGTCACTCCCCACTGCCTGTCCACCACCACTGTCATTATGCCAACCCCTCACACTACCCCAGCTTAGCATTCAAAAGGGACTTTTATACCAAAAGCCTGCTCTATCCTAGCAATGTCACTGTGAGCTAGTGATGGTTGGGGGGCTCAGTTGTATCTTGGTTCTGTAGCCTCCTGCCTGAAGCTGGAGGTGGCTCTCAGACACTGTCCTCAGGATGGCAGAAGGTACTCTTGGCCAAGAGTGATTTTGGCATGGCTTCTGGTGATCAGAGGATGGTGGAGCTGGGAACTGTGTGGCCAGTCCCCAGGTTGTGATACCATCTCAGGACATGCCCTCACCATGTCCCCCACTTCCACCAGCACTCTCCACCTGTGGGTCAATTCAATCCAGCCATGGGGCAACCAAATCAGGGTCATGTCAAGCTGATGGATGAGCTGAATGGACTGGCATTTTGGATAGCATCCAATGTGGCACAGGGCCTCACAGCTTGGTAAGTGCCTGTTACCACTTTCAAGTGACAGTGGGTTCCATGGACTTGTTCATTCACTTAGTGACCCTTCGGTATCCACCACAGTGTGCCTGGCATTGTTGGGAACAAGAGCGCCCCTGTCCTCTTGGAGCTCAGTGCCTGGTGGGGAAACAAATCCCACATGGTCCTGCCAGAGCTGGCTGTGAGGCAGCTCCAGCCACAACCTGCCTTGCCCTGCCTTGGTGATTTGCAGGGGTCTGCCCTTCCCAAGCCTGTGAGACCCTGCTCCAGATGGGAACTTGGTGTCCCAGGTTGGGGCCAGGCTGTAGAGGCTGAGGCCTGAGCAGAACCAGGTCCAAGGCCAGTCTCCTGGGATGATCAGTGGCTCTGGCAGTGATGGCAGTGGTGGTTCAGCCACCATACTGGAGACCCAGAGCCCGGGTCAGGGGAGAAGCCTCCAGGCACAGGAGGGATACCTATGTACCTGCTGGCTGTTGGGTGGGTCTTCATACCAACCCTGTGTGTTTCCCTGTCCCAATGCCACCTGTTCTCCAGGCAGCCCCGGGATAGCAGCAGTCAGGGCAGGGGCAGGCCCAGCTCTACCTCTGAAAACAGTGTTGGCAGGATACACACCACAGATCGCCGTGCTACTGCCCATATGGGTCCCTGACAGCCATGTCACTGCAGCTCAGAGTTGCTGTGAGTGAGGCCATAGACCACCAGGCCTGAGTTGGTGGACCATGGGCTACAGAGCTGGACAGGGTCTCTGCATGTCCTTGGGCTGGGTCTCCTTGGGTAAGGTGGGGACCCCCGTGGTCCAGCAGCTCCAGGCATAGCACCCTAAGACCCCCAAAGCATTCTCAACCCCCTGAGGTCTCCTGGTGAGCTGGAGTACCCAAGTGTCAGGCAGGAGGCTGCTGCCTGGTCAGGAGCAGGCCAGATCCTTGAGATTCAGCTGGCCTCTCCTCAAGGTTTCCTAGGGCAGGTGGCTCAGTGTCCCCAGACCTCCTGGGAGACCTCGGTCCTGCCTACTTCCTTGAGAGGGGCAAACATAGCCTGTGCTCTCCCAGCTGGTTGCACTCCTGGGGTTCCAGACAAAGAAATGGGGACAGATAGCAGGAGCCAGTTGCAGGCAGGTCCCTATAAGGCCCTGAGACCCAAAACCCTGGCTCTGGCCTGACCCCTCTACAAAGGGCTGGCTGCTGATCCACAGCTAGGACCTTTGCAGGTGGTGTGGGATGTGCAATTCTGGAGGTCAGAGGGCATGACCCCAACACATAGACCTGGTGCCCCTGGTGGCCAGCTGCTTTTCCATCAGCACAGCTGTCCAACTGGCTCCAGCTCAGGGAGATGGGTACAGTGGCCATGTGCTGGCCAGGACTGCATTTGGGTTTGATCTGCATGGAGTAGGTTTGATGACAGCTGAGCAGCTAATGGGTGGTTCAGGGCAGTGGTGGGTTGAGTCCTCCTGGGTAACTGGCCAAGATCCTGGGGATACGAATGGCATATGTGGCTCTGGAAAAGAGTAAGTGTATCGCCCTTGAGCTGGTGGACAGAAAAGCTGGTGAGGGGTGAGCAGGGCCTACCAGGTTTGGGTCCAGAGGGCATCCTGACCAATCAGTGGCTACATGTGCTACTACCCGAGTCCATCAGGCCCACTGCCTCCCTGGTCTTTGCTGGGGCTGTGTCCCTGCTGCCTGTGCCCTGCCTGTGCCTCTTGGCCCTCCTGACTGAGGGACAGAGGTCTCTGTGGGCCCAGCACTTGCTGCCTGTGCTGTGGCCCAGCCAAAACTTATGGCACTTGGGTTCTACAGCAGGGCCAGTATGAGGCCTGGGCACACTCCCTGAGCCCTCACCTACTCCTTCTCAGACCTTGGCCTCTCCCTGCAGGGCTGGGGTGGGGCTGGGACAGAGGGGCTGTGCCTGCAGGCCAGTTGGCTGATGAATCATAGCTGGCTGCTGGGCCCAATTGGGAATAGTTTTGAGGCTGCTGTGGGCTCAGTGGAGAGGCTGGTTAACCATGGCTGCAGGGAACAGTCCCTTCCCCACTGCCACCTCTCCATCCCTGTTCTGTCTCACCATAATCACATGGGTCCTTCAGAAGGTCCCAATAGGCACTTCTATTTGCAGAAGGCAGTCCTTCTCCCAAGCCCCAAGAGAGAAGGAAGCCCAGGCACCCTACACGGGCAGGAGGCTGGGGAGCCCAGGTCTGTCGTGGGCCTCTTCTGCAGGGCCTCTGTCCCAGCCCTAACCCCCATCTGGCCACTCCTGGAGCCTGAGGACAGGGGGACCTCCATCTCCCCAACACAGGGCTCCCTCCCTCTCTCCTCTTTCCTCTCTCTCAGAGATGCCAACTGCTTGTCTGAGGACTGTCTTAACCCCAGGTGCTGTATCTCTGCACCTGTAGCACGACAAACTTATACGGATGAAGGGTGTCACATATTCAAGGGAACCTGCAGGGCCTCAGCTCCTCACCCCTTCCCTGTCTTGGACATTCCCTATCTGGTCCCTGTAGGTGTCTGTTCCTTGCATGTCATCTCCAGGGATGGAGATGAGACTGTCTAGCAGAGGACAGCCAAAGCAACACTGGCAGAACCGGAGAGCAGAGAGCCCAGGAAGCCCCCTCACTGGGACGGACAGAGAAGGTCCTTGAAGGGGCCACTGTCTGGGTCTCTCATGGAGATGGAGGTTGCCCAGTCCAAGAGGACGGGAAGAACCATTTTACCCAGGCATCTCTAGAGTGATGGCAAGAGGATCCCTGCTGTGGGAGGAACCCTGTCCCCCAGAAAGATCTGTGAGGTCCTCACCCCCTGAACCTGTGAATATGACTATTGGGTACAGGATTTTGCAGATATAATCAAATTAAATGAAGCCCTACAGGAGTAGGGGGAGCCCTTACCCAGCGACCATGTCCCCATAGGAGGAAGGAAAGGTGGTCACTCTTGGGGAGAATGCTACACAGCCACAGAGACAGACGGGGTGATGCCTGTACCAGCCATGATATGCCAAGGATCCCTGAAGTCCCAGGAACTAGACAGGAGCCTGGGCCTGGCCTCCCTCAGAGAGCAGAAGGAACCAAGCCTTCAGAACCTTGATCTGGGACTCTGGCCTTCAGAAACAGAGACATTAAGTGTCAGTTGTCACTCACCAGTGTGTGTCCTTTGTCACAGCAGCCTTGAAGACAAATGCAGCCCCACAGCTATGCATATGTGCCTCTGCCTTTGTCCACCTCTGCCTTTATGGTGGCAGGATCACTGTAGTCATGCTTCTTCATTGTCATCACCAGCATTACTCTTCCTCTAGCTCACAGGTGTCTGTCTGATGCCTGTGCCCATCATTTCCGATCCCATGTAGTCCCCGTGGCACCTTAAGGATGATGCCCTCATTTCTCATTGCTGCCATTCTGCCACCAAGAGGTGGATTAGGCTCCATCCAAGGTGACACAGAGATTGCCTGGCTGCCATCCTCGTGCTTTGCCTGCCTTCTCTCCTAGTGGCCCCTGGTTCCTGGGGTGGGGCAGCTCTGAAGGTGCTCCCAGGATGCATCCTTGTGGGCACTGGGGACTGACAAAGTTCTATGGGGAAGTGGCTCCCCTTTGCAGTGTCAACTTGCTCCCTTTGTTGGCGGAGGAGATACATGGCCAGATGTGACAGCATAATATCATTTCACAGGACGCTCCCTCGGATGCCCAGATAAGCTGTCGATTGCACTGCTCCTGCAGTCTCGCTATCTAGTTTTATTTTGCCATAATAGTGGGGACGATGCAGTTGGTAACGACCCATGACAGCTGCTATATTGATATTCCCAGTCTTGGGAAGAGTGAGAGAGGAAAAAAAAATAAACACTTGATAAAAGTATGATTGAAGATTAATAGTTGTCTGGTGATGACTCGCAATGAACCGGGCCAGGAGGAGATTGCTGTCTGCAGGGCGGGATTGCTTGGTTCTGCCAGAGCTACAGAGCTGGCCCCCAGTGGGACCCGCATCCTCATGTAGGGCCACAGGGCTGCATTTCGGGCACTGATGGCCAGGGTGCTTGGATGAGACCCAGCTCGGGAGGGCAGATGGAAATTGCTTTGGAAGTATTTATTTATTTATACTCCACCGTGTTCCAGCGGGGATTTAAAAAGGCTTAGAAATTGCTTTGTGTAGAAGCCCTGATAATCCTTCTACCCCTCCCTGCGGTGCAGCAGATCCAACGTCTGCAGGCAGGGTGGGGGCGGGAGGCTGTTCGAGGGTCAGACCTAGGTGGTTCTGCTGGTGACCAGGAGCTTGAATTCTGCTGATTTTAAGTGATTTGTTCATGTCAGTGATGCAGGGTGGAAAGCCGTGACCGGAGATCATTCATTCATTCACATAGAGCCTATCTTGTGGGAACTTCTGTCCATCAGAAGAAAGTAAGATCAACTGCAAACTGGAGAAGCTATTTGCTGCAAATACAGCCATAGCAGATTGGTGTCCAGTGCATTACAGACAGCCCCACCTGTGATGCCTGTGACCCCCATGATCTAGAGCAGAAGACACCAAGCGGAAGCTTATCTGGAGAGGTGATCAGGGATCAAGGATGACAGTGGGTCAGGGCCCCTCACATGTGATGGGCAGAAAGGCGGCAGTAGCGTGGGGAGCACAGCTGGTGGGTTTATGAGCTTGATTACATTGTTTAAGCAACAATCCAAGTAAGTCAGCACAGTCGCTCTCTGAGGCTGCTGTAACAAATTATCGCAAAATGGGTGGCTTAAAACAACAGAAATTTATTCTCTCGTAGCCCTGGAGCCAGAAGTCTGAAATCAAGGTGTCAGCAGGCTGGGCTCGCTCTGGAGGCTCCTGGGAGGAGCTTCCAGCTCCTGGTGGCCCCAGGGGAGCCTCAGCTGTGGCTGTAACCATCCAACCTCTGCTGTGTCTTTGCATGGCCTCCTGTCCCCTAGTCTTTGTGTTCTCTGGTCTTCTAGGTGTTATAATAACACCTGTCACTGGATTCAGGGCCCACCTGAGTTCAAGATGTTCTCATCTCCAGATCTATGATTATATCCACGAAGACCTTTTGTCTGAAAAGACCTCATTCAGAGACTGGCGTGAGAGCTTGGCCATATCTTTTGGGAGGACACTGCTCAACACATATTATAAGCAGGAAGGTAAATAGAGCAAGCACACATGTATGATGAGAATGTAAGCACACCAAGGCCAGGATGAATCTGGATCCTTTGAATAAGAGCATTCAATAAAGTATAGGCTGGCTATATGTCTAAAACTACTCTCCCGCGGTGGGACTGGGGTGTTTGTGTGGGAGAGAAATGCCATCCTTCCTTCCTATGAGAGGCTCACAACCACATCCCAGTGCTCAGGACTGTGCAACCAGCAGGAGGCCTGAGGCTAGGCTACAGGACCCCAGCCTTGCGGCTTTTGCTGTGTGCAATGCTGCTTTGCCAAATCATACCCGGTTCCTGAGGGAGGCTCTCTTTCAGTGGATGTGTGTGCACACACATGTGTGCACGCGTGGTGTGACACAGACAACAAACAAGTCAGAATCCTCAGTGGGGTGGAAGAAGCTCAGCTGGAGAAGGGAAAGTCTCTGGCAACAGGACAGGGAAGCTGAGTGTGGCCTGTGTCCCCAACAGGCATCATGCTGCCTCCCTGCTCTGCTGCACTGGCTGTACTGCCCTGTCTCCTGCATCTCTTGCTCCCAGCCTCTTCTCACTGATGGCTCTCTGTTCTACTTTATGTGTCTTTGTAAGCCGCCTTAAATCCTTTTTGAACAAGGCAGGGCATAAATAGATAAATAAATAAAACCCCCATGTCGCAAATTTTAAAACATCTTTCCCAAGGCCCTGCTCATTCCAGAATGATCCATTCATAACTCCTTTGACAACTTCTGGGCCAGACCCAGGCACTGCGAGGCTCAGAAAAACAAGCTGGTTCAGGAGCCAGGCTTCATCATTCACCACCCTTCCAGGTCCTTGTGCAATGCCACTGGAAGGAGACAGCTCACCAGCACTGCCCTTGTTCTGAAGTTGGACTGAGGACCTGGTAAGGACCTGGGGGTTGAGGGAGAGGCAGAATTGCATGTGCCATGTCCTCTGCTTGAATGCAGTTGTGTCTGGCCAGGGAGTCAGGGACTCTGGATTTGTTCTACACACATGTCATGGATCCCAAGTGCCACCTGCTCAGTGCAACCCACCAGTGTCTACTGAGGACTACTGGGGCCATGCTACCAGCCACATCATAGAGAAGTCTTGTCTTAACTGTAGGAAACTTTTAAGCTTACTTACTTCCACTTAAAGCACAGGAACTGGGGATGTACATGTGCTGAATGCTCTATGCAGGCTGGGTGCTGCACATGAGCTGGCTGCTGCCTCTGTGCTAGGTGCTAAATGTTTGTGTGGTGTTGCTTATGTGCTGGGTACTGCCCATGTGCTGTCTGTGTTCTGGGAAGCTGCATGTGTGCACGGTGGTGTTCTGTGTGCTGGGTGCTACCTGGGTGCTGATTATACCTGCATGCTGGGTGGTGCTGCATGCTGGGCCAAGAGGTTGGTCAATGCAGAGAAGGAATCCATGAGTGCTCACTGTTGACTAGTTGAGAAACTAGGGCAATTGAGTAGAGGCTGAACTCAAAGGAGAGAATCTTACTTCTTCATCAAATAAATCAGGATGTGTGTGCATATATGTGTATGTGTCCATGTGTGTATACATGTACATATGTTGGTGCATTCATGTGTGTACATGAATTACACATGCATGTGTAGTGTGTGGTGTATATGTGTATGATGTCTATATATATGGTGTGTATGTATTATGCACACATATGCATGAATGTTTTGGTGTGTGCATTGTGTATATGTATGCGTGCTGTGCATGTGTGTGGCATATGTGTACATGTGTGTGATATATGTGTTGGTCTGGGAAGGCAGAGTGGGGTCTAGTCTTGCCCTTACATAGATGTTCTTGTTGGTGCCCCAGACACAAGTCAACAACCAGCTGCAGTGCATGTGTGTTTGTGCAGGTGCATGTGCACTGGAGGTGGAGAATGTGATGTTCATTATGGATGTATTTGTGTGTTCTCTTTCTCAGCCCAGCTCCAGCCTGGTGAGCCCTGTTTCAGAGGAAGGCAAGTCCTCCAGCAAACCCTGGTGCTCTTCAAGATGAGTGACCCTCCTCTTCTGTGCATGTACTCCAAGCCGACCCATCTGGAGCGTCCATGGTTTGAGGTCAGAATTAGGACACTCTCGCCTCGGGTGAGTGATAGAGATGAGACTGGGCAGGAGCAATGGGGCTCAGCCACTATATTTCACATGCAGACACACAATTTATTTCAGGGAATGCACATATTTCAGTGGTACAGGATTCTATTTCATGAGCTGGAGTCATGGCTGTCACCCTGTCATGGCTGGCCACATACACAGGGTGTGCTTGGCCAAAGCTCTAGGGTAGAAGAGATGGAATTCTTGGACATCCCAAAGCTTTGCAGGGCATGTGGTTAACGAGCGCCATTGAGGAAGTAATCAGGAAGATTAACGCATGGGTGGTGGGTGCTGGACGTGGAGTTTTGATCAGTTGGGCTGACCATGGAATTGACCTTGGTTGGGAAATCCATGGTGCTATTAGAAAGAACACTGAGTACTGGGTTGGACTTGGCCTCCGGCTCAGACTCTGACCCATCCTGCTCTTTGCCTAGGATGGTATGATCAGTTTTCTCACCTGTGAAAATAGGATCTTGGTGACGGTTCTAGTCTTGTCTACCCAGTGATGCCACAGCAAGGACTGAATATCTAAGTGACATAGGGTAGAAAATGTGTAGAAATTTAAGTGATTAACATGGATGGGGTCATTTTCTCCAAGTATATTTTTAATCACTTTTATGCAGAATGAAGAATAATCAATAACAATTTTAAAACCCACAAACGTTCATCATATTAGAGCAGGAAATAAATTAATGACAGGAATGAGACCTGGGAGCAGGTTCGGATACTTGTCTTACCAGCTTTTACATGGGCAGATCCTAAAACAGCTCTGGCCCTTCTCTAGAAATGGGTGCTGAGTTCGGCCTGAGGTTCAGGCCATGGGTCAGTCATCAGGTCCACCTCGCGAGGACTGTTTGTCCTCTTCCAATTAAACTGAGAGCCCTAGGGCCCCAGACCTCTCTCCAGCTCACCTCCAATTGCCCCCCAAACTTGCCTCCCCCTCCAAGGGCTCTATGAGCTGGTCTCCTTCTCTGTGGCCAGACCACACCCAGCCCTCTCCCCCAAACTCTGGGTGTTTGTGAGAAGGATGAATGTGCAGGAGGGGTCACACAAGGCCTGCAAGGAAGAGACCCGAAGCCACAGGCAGAGCTTTAGTCATCACAGTGTTGGCAAGGATGGGATTGGCCAGTGGGATGTGGACAACTGTCTAGGTGCCAGCCTTGTAGAAGCTGGGTGGGGACCAGACAAGGTAGGGTAGTCCAAGCCTAATTCCCTGCCCTGCCCTGGGGCCAGGTGCCTGTAGCTAATGAGTGCCAGGGCTACTGGCAGCTGCAAGGGTGAGGTAAGAGGGAATGGACACCCCTCAGTGACCGCAGAGGGGCCGGCGCTGAGACACCCCAGGAAACCACTGTATCTACTGTTCAAGTCACCTGTCTGTGGTTCTTTGATATGTAGCCTCAGAGGCTGACATATGATCTCAAAGCCTGGCCTCCTGGGTCCCCCCACCGACTGGATGAGAGCATGCAAGTGAAGAGCTCACAGGCTGGCATACAATCAACACCTGACCCAGGCTCAAAGGGCAAGCTGGGAGTGAGCCACGATCTCAGCAGATCTGGTGAGTCCCCAAGGACAGATGCTGTTGTTGGGAGGCTGCCCTGTCTTCCTTCCTGAGGGGTGGTCTCTAGGAGGCTGGCAGAGGGCGTCTTGCCCCCACCCTCTCCTTCTAGGTATTACAGAATTTGTCCACCATCATTTAATGGTACATTCAAAAAATGTACTCTGGGTCAGATTTAATACCAGGCACAGGGAAAGAAACGTGCTACTAGGGCACTGGCGGTCTAGTGGGGTCACAGAAATGGGAGCAGACGACCTTTTCATAATATGCCAAAGGCAGAACATGAAATATACATGAAGAGTGAGGAGGGAGGGAGAAGGAGGAAGGAAGGGGAAGAGGAGGGAGAAAAGGAGGAGGAAGAGGAGGGGTTGGGGCAGGAAGCTTCTCTGGGGAGGTGCTGGGCCAGTGGGAGCTGGAGGGGTGGGCTGAGGGTGGCTCCTATGACAGGAAGCAGTGGTGGGGAGATTCGGGTTTAGGGCCATGTAGTTAGGGAAGGCTGGGACAAGTGCTGGGGGTGGGGCTTGCTTGCCACTGTTCAGGTCAATCCATAGGCCTAAGTTGGCAGCCCCAGCACCATCATGAGCTCTAAACAGTGGCAGGTCCAAGACTTACCCAGATGTTCCTCACTCAGGGGCTTTCTGTTTTCCAACTGAGAACCATCAAGGGAGGATAACAGACTTGAAGAACTGTAAATAGCAGTCATAAATTGCATGGGACGTGGCCCTATTTTTATTTTAGAGGGGAATGTCCCTGGGCTATTAAGGCTTATGGAGGGTGGAGGAGAGGGCTCTGTGAGGAGGGTGTCCCCATTGCCCTGAGAGAGAGGAGAGCTGTAAGGCTCGAACTCAGGACCCAGAGCCAGAACATAGATCTAAGATGTAGAACTTGGACTTAGAGTGAGGTCTAGAACTTGGACAGTAGACTCCCCGCAGCGGGCCACAGTCTGTGCTGTTCAGTGACACATGACATGTGCCTGGGACGTGGCAGGTCCCAGCCAGTACATGCTGAGTGAGCATTGAGCTGCAGAAGTGGAGGAAAGCAGTTGAGATAGTGAATGGGCCTGGATGGTAAGGGCTACAGAGCGGGATGGACCAGAGAGCCCCACACTGTCTCCTTGTCCCTGGCTTGGCACCAGAACAAGGAAGGATGGTAAGCAGCATGGACAAATGGGCCACCCAGCCGCCGACCTGGCCAGCTGCAATCGCTTTCTGCACAGGCTGGGCAGAGTGACACAGAAGCACTGGGTGAAAGGCCTTGGGTCAGGTGGGCGACAGTACTAGGTCAGATGGGCCTCTGATAAGGCCTTGGGCTGGCAATGCAGGTGCATGACTGTGGCCAGTAGGTGCCTGTGTCCTTGATGACACTTTGCTGAGGGGTCTTCAGCCACCGCCCAGAACCAGATGCCCATGAAGCCTGTCAGGATCCTATGAAATCTGATGCAGGGCCTGCCTGGGGAACTCAGGTGGTAGACGGGGCCATGCTGGTGACTGGCAGTGTGAGTGTGGAGGCTGGTGCAGGAGGACACAGGGGGAATTGCCTCTCCCAGACGTGGGGGTCTGGGCACTTGTGAGTCAGATGCTCGTACCAAGCTAAGATGCTTCTGAGGGGCCACACTGGTGAGGACAGAGAAGGTCTGTGTCCTCATGGAGGGAGGTAGAGGGTGGAGGGGAGGCCGTGGGTCAGCAGGGCTCCAGGGCTCTGTGGGCTGCACTTCTCTGAAAGCTTTGGGAACAATCCTTTTCCTGGCCCTTTTCAGCTTCTAGAGGCTGTCACATCCCTTGGCCGGGACCCTTCTTGGCATCATCCTACCTCTTCCTTCCATAACCCCATCTCCTGCTGCTCTCTAACACTCAGCCCCCTCTCTCTTTGCATTGGGCACAAACTGGGATGTTCAGCTGCTTCCAGGTCTCCACCCTCTGGCTCCCAGTGGCACTCCCTCCAACTGTGACAGTACAAATGGTCCCCAGACATCACCGAATATCTCCTAGGGCTGACATGGACCCCAGGCTGAGGCCAAAGCCTGGAAGGTAGTGATGCTAATGTGGAAACTGGCCTGGGTTCGCACAGAGGGTGGCATTTTCCCCCACAGGGCTCATGCCCTGGCCTTCTGAGAGGAAGCGTGTATGTCTCCATCCCTAGCCAGAGCCAGGGTCTTGATGGGAAAAGGTACTTGCACCTTGTAGTTGTAGGACAGCTGTGACCTCAGCCACAGTACATGTGGGCTGTGTGGCTGCCTTTGTTGGATACGCCGTGGGGCTCTCCACTTGTTTTGGAAGGGTTTCTCCTGGTTTGGTCTTTCCTGGCACACTTTGGTTAATTCTGTCATGAGTCTCGTGATTCCCAAAACCCAATGGTCCTGTCCACTCTGACTTTGGAGGTGAACACATGGCCTGGAGGAACCTACAAGTGTGCAGATGAGTGTGTGAGAACACCATATCCATGTGCTCGCCATGGCCCCTATTGTGACTGCAAACTTTATTGCCTCTTTTCTGGTCCCAAGCCACTTTTTTGGGAGAAGCAGATGGTGGCAGGTGGGGATGAGCTCTGGAGAAGGAAGCTGTCAACAAGGCATCCTAGTCATCCACAGTGAAGCCAGACATTTGACCGTAATGCCTAAAAATGAGGTGCTGAGCCACCTGGGAGTCTTGAGGGTCCTGGGGAATGAGGACGTTTCGATTTCCTCCAGTTGGGAAGAGGAGCAGCAGAGCAGGTGTTGCTCCCTGCTTGAGGCAGACACCAGATCTCAGTGCTGGGCGGCATTAGCAGATTTGGGAAAACTGCCTCAGGGAATTTTTTTTCCATTCCCTAAGTAGAAGGTAACATTTGCTCATTCGGCTCAGGTTAAATTACCATATTAATTATTCAAAAGACTTAATGCCATCAAACTTAAATCCATGCACCGGATCCAAGGGAGAACCGGAAACAAAATCAATGGGTCTGAAGGAACCAAAGATATTGGCAGCTAGTGAATAATTAACTCTTCTTCCCCAGAAGTTTATCAGTGAGGAAAAAAGTAGTGTACAGGATACATAGAGGAAATAGATGACAGACAGATACATAGAGAGATAGACATATTGACAAAGAGAAACATAAAGAAATAGAGAGGTGCACACAGATAAAGAAGTAGATACATAGATTGAGGCACAGAGGCAAAGAGATAGAGACAGACAGACAGATAGATAGATGGCTAGATGGGTAGATGGATAGATACGTAGGTAGGTACAGATGAATGGATGGATGATTGGGTAGGACAGACAGACAGAGAGTGTGAACAGAGTCCAGCTGTGTTCCTCTTTGTCCTGAGCCTCCTCAGCTGTGGCAATTCTGTGTCAGGAGTCAGAGCACTAATCAGATTTAAAGTGACCACAATTTCACACGTCTTTCAGCATGACCCTTTGGGAAGGCTGGCCTGCAGAGTCCCCAGGATGGGTTTTATGCT